ATCAGCCTGCGGACCCAAGGGTCTGAGGTTCAATTCCAGTCAAAGGCACGAACCTTGGTTGCAAGCTCCTCCCCAGCCCAGGCCCTGGTTGGGGTGTATGCAGGAGACAACCAATCGATGTGTTTCTCTCACATTAATGTTTCTCTTGATCTTTCCCTCTCTCTTCCACTCTCCCTAAAAATCAAAGGAAAAATATTCTCAGGTGAGGATTAATGAAAAAAAATAGAATCATTTCCTAATTTCACTATCAGATTGTTCATTGCTAGTGTATAAAAATGCAATTGATTTTTGTATGTTAAGCTTTTATCCTGCAAACTTGCTGAGCTTGTTTATTTCTAGTAGTTTATTATTAGGAATTGCTTACTTTTTTAATGTACAAAATCATGACATTTGGAAATAGAGATACTTTTCCTCCTTCCTTTCCCATTGGATGCTTTATATTTCAATTTACTGTCTAATAGTCCCTGCTAGAGCTTTCAGGACAGCGTTGAATAGAAGTGGTCAGAACAAAAATTCTGGACTTTTTCCTTATCTTGGGAGGAAAGCTTTCAGTCTTTGACCATCCAATATGATGTTACTCTCAGTTTTTCATAGATAAACTTTATCATATTGAGGAAGTTCCCTTCCATTTCTAACTCATTGAGTTTTATCATGAGAGGGTGGTTACTTTTGTCAAATGATTTTTCTGTGTCCATTGAGATGATCATTGGATTTTGTCCTCTAGTCTATTAACATGGTTTATTGCAATAATTGATTTTTGGATGTTAAACCAACTTTGCATTTCTGAAATAAATGCCAATTGGTTATGGTATAAAATTCTTTAGATATGTTGTTAGATTTAAATGTCTACTATTTTGTTGAGGAGTATCTATATTCATAATAAATATTGCTCTATAGTTTTCTTGTGATGTCTTTGTCTGGTTTTGGTATGCAGGTAATATTCGCCTCATAGAATGAGTTGAGAAGTGCTCCCTCCTATTCTATTTTTGGAAAAGTTTAGTCTAAATGCTTCTTTGAGCATTTGGAAAAATTCACCGGTAAAGCCATCTGGGCCTGACCTTTATTTTTATTTTTTTTGTCAGGGGAGAGGAGGAATTTTTTTAAAAATTTTATTTTATTTATTTTTTTTATTGCTTACAGTATTACAAAGGGTATTACATATGTGTCCCTTTTTTCCCCCCGCCCTTGACAATCCCCTGGCCTCCCCTACCCCCCAGTGTCTTATGTCCATTGGTTATGCTTATATGCATGCATACAAGTCCTTTGGTTGATCTCTTACCCCCCTCCCTCCTGTTTGAGGCTGCTCTGCCTCTGTATCTATTATTGTTCAAAAGTTTATAATGGTCTCTATTATCCATGAATGAGTGAGATCATGTGGTATTTTTCCTTCATTGACTGGCTTATTTCACTTAGCATAATGCTCTCCAGTTCCATCCATGCCGTTGCAAATGGTAAGAGTTCCTTCTTTTTTACAGCAGCATAGTATTCCATCGTGTAGATGTACCACAGTTTTCTAATCCATTCATCTACTGATGGGCACTTAGGCTGTTTCCAGATTCTAGCTATGGTGAATTGTGCTGCTATGAACATATGGGTGCATATATCCTTTCTGATTGGTGTTTCTGGTTTCTTGGTATATATTCCTAGAAGTGGGATCACAGGGTCAACTGGGAGTTCCATTTTTAGTTTTTTGAGGAAACTCCATACTGTCTTCCATAGTGGCTGCACCAGTCTGCATTCCCACCAGCAGTGCACGAGGGTTCCTTTTTCTCCACATCCTCTCCAGCACTTGTCGTTTGTTGATTTGTTGATGATAGCCAATCTGACAGGTGTGAGATGGTACCTCATTGTTGTTTTGATTTGCATCTCTCAGATGATTAGTGACTTTGAGCATGTTTTCATATGTCTCTTGGCTTTCTGAATGTCCTCTTTTGAAAGGTGTCTATTTAGGTCCTTTGCCCATTTTTTGATTGGATTGTTTATCTTCCTTTTGTTAAGTTGTATGAGTTCTCTATAAATTTTCGAGATTAGGCCCTTATCAGATATGACATTGGCAAATATGTTTTCCCACACAGTGGGTTTTCTCGTTGTTTTGTTGATGGTTTCTTTTGCTGTGCAGGAGCTTTTTATTTTGATGTAGTCCCATTTGTTCATTTTCTCTTTAGTTTCAAGTGCCCTAGGAGCTGTATCAGTGAAGAAATTGCTTTGGCATATGTCTGAGATTTTGTTGCCTTTGGAAGGAATTTTTTTCTAATATATTTTTTATTTATTTCAGAGAGGAAAGAGAAATAGAAACATCAATGATGAGAGAGAATCACTGATCAGCTCCCTCCTGCGTGCCCCCTACTGGGGATTGAGCCCACAACCCGGGCATGTGCCCTTGACTGGAATCAAGCCCTGGGTTCTTCAGTCCATAGGCCCACGCTCTATCCATTGAACAAAACCAGCTAGGGCAAGAGGGGGAATTTTTTAATTATTAATTCTTTTCCTGTTATTAGCCTCTTCATATTTCCTATCTTTTTGAGTCAGTTTTGATAGTTTATTTATGTCTAGGAATTTGTTCATTTGATCTAGGTTACCTAATTTTTTTGGCATAAACTTATTCATGATTTTTCCTTATAATCAATTCTGTATCTGTAGTCAGTAGTGATGACCCTTTTCTTTTTTGTGATTTTACTAATTTGAAACTTCTCTCTCTTTTTTTTTTTTTTTTTTTTTTTTTTTTTTGGCTTGTTCTACACAGCTAATGTGTGTCAATGTCATTGACCTTTTCAAAGAACCAACTGTTAATTTTATTATCTCTTATTTTTCTATACTCTATACACTACTATTTCTTTTCTTCTACTCCCTTTGTGTTTAGTTTGCTCTCCTTTTTCAAGTCTGTTAAGGTGGAAGTTTGAGTAATTGATGTGCAATCTTTCTTATTTTTTAATGTAGGCACTTACAGCTATAAATTTGCCTCTAAACACTAATTTAGAGAGATCCCACGAATTTTAGTGTGTTGTATCTTCATTTTCCTTCATCCCAAAATATTTTCTAGCTTCCCTTGCAATCTCTTCCTTGAACCATTGGTTTTTTAGCAATGTTTAATTTCCACATGAATCTGAATGTTACAAATTTTCTTCTGTTATTGATTTCTAATTTAATTCTGTTGTGCTCAAAAAACATATTTGGTATGATTTCATTCCTTTTAAATTTACTGAGGCTTATTTTATGACCTAAAATGTGGTCTATCCTGGAGAAGATTCCAGGTACGCTTGAGAAGAATATATATTCTGCTGCTATTATGTGGCATGTTCTATAGATTTATAGTGTTGCTCAGGTCCTCTATTTCCTTGTTGATCTTCTGCTTGTTTGTTCTTTCCATTATTGAAAGCGGGGTATTGAAGTCTTCAACTATTGCTTTTGGCTTGTATATTTCTCCTTTTGATTCAGTCAGCTTTTGCTTCATGTATTTTGGGACTCTATTGTTAAGTGCCAGCACTGTGCTTTTGTGGTAGCTGTAAGCTCTAGTAAAAAGCTAACACCTTGACCCTGTCAAATTGGAATTTCAAAGGCATTTGAAGGCATTCTTGATCACCTTGATGAACTATCGGGTAGTAGTTAAAAACAAGGGCTTTGTGGTCCCTCAAACCTGAGCTCAAATCCAGACTGCCATTTATGACTCATGTGACCTTAAGTAAATTATATAACCAACTGGATTAGTTTTCTCTGTAAAATGGGGATAATAATAACACCAACCTCATTAGGTTGTTATAAGGATTAAATGGGATAATGTCTGATGACCTTAGCCTAAATTAGTGCTTACTTGATACCTGTCTGATAGCAAAGTGATTTGGCATTGTCTGAGTATATTTTCACAGATATCATAGGGAGGGGCCCTCAAACAGACTAAGAGAGAGACAGATGAAGCATTTGATATAGGTAATCCTCAAAGGCACAGACCTACCATCATTAAAAGCTGTTGCCCCGGCCAGTGTTGTTCAGTGGTTAGAGTGTCAGCACACGAACCTAAGGGTTTCAGGTTCGATTCCCGGTTAAGGGCACATACTTGGGTTATAGGTTTGGTCCCCAACCCTGGTTGGGGCATGTGTGGGAGGCAACCAATCGATGTGTCTTTTTCACATTGATGATTCTCTACCCCTCTCTCTCCCTCTCCCTCCCTCCCTTCCACTCTCTCTAAAAATAATCAATGGAAAAAATATCCTCGGATGAGTATTAACAAAAAATAAATAAATAAAAGCTGTTTAGCAGAACATTTTGCCACATGTATGTGTAGTGGATAGGCTGGTCCTACATGAATACAGAGCAATAATGAGATTTGAGGAATTGTAACAATGTCCTTCCCACCCTCTCCCCCCATATATATACATCCCAGCATATCTCTTATATGCTTTATACATTCAGATGCCCAGAATTCTAGACGTCCCTCCACTGACAGTCCTCTCTGAAGGGCAACATCTCAGGCATTGTATGTAGTGTAGCCTGTTTTACACTTTCCCATTAAAACAATAGTTATTTGTCAGATTTATTTACTTCTTCTAGAAGACATCCAACATAATGCAAGAGTGACAGAGCACTGGAAGTTGGAAAGACTCTGAAAAGGGTGGGTGCAGGGACAGTTCCAAGAATGACATAAAACAGATATCAGTTATTTAAGTATGCTTATAGGTGACTCTCAGACCTATCCATGTAAGAGGCCAGCCATGCCCAAATACCAAGGTGTTTACCCCTACCCCACCTCACCCCATGCTTTTCCCATTTCAGAGGTGATGGGGCTATTAGCAACTCAAGCCATTCTACTCTACTCACTCTACTTTCAGGGCCAGCAGCAACATAGGCAATTGATTCTCTTTCCCCTAATCCTTAGCAGCCAGGTGAGGCTCTCTTGGTACCTGCCATTCAATTGTGCACAATAGACCCAGGCCAGAGACACCATGAGAGCTCCACCACAATCCTCATTACCAAGGCTCACCTGTTGATTCTCTTTCTGGGTTTAGATTACATGCACAGTGCCCATCGCCCTGTCACTGGGGGCCACCTGGGGAAAAAGGAGAGTAGTTATGTGGGCAGCGTGGGCACCAGCCCCAGGAAGTCGAGCCGCTGCACACCCCCGCCTGCCGACTCTGAGCTTGTCAGCTTTTGCTACCTCCACATGCGGGAACAAAGGAAGGAGCAGGAAAGCCGGACAGATGTCAATGAGAATTTAATCTTCTTTGAGGAGACCAGGCCCCGGACCAAATCTGACCCCACTTCCAAAAGCTCTGGCCAAGGTTACAATGTGGTCCCTGATGACTTTGATGCAGCCAGTCTAGACCACGAGCCTTGTGCCAGTAGGGCCAGATCTTATACCTTGGATAATTCCCTTGGGGCTGAAGCCCTAAATTTTTACTGTGACTCTTGCAAAGCCAAACTCCAGGAGCAGCTGGGTCCTCGCAAAGGCGGGAGGCCTGGTTCCTCTCGTGATAATATTGTAGACTTGATGTCCCTTCCACCCCCTGGGAGTGAGGAGGAAGAAGAGGAGGAAGATGAGAGTACTTCCCTGTTGCCTGCCATTGCTGCCCCACCTCCTGGTTTCCGAGACAACAGTTCTGATGAGGATGACTCCAAGCGCCGGGCCGCCCAGAGCCAGGAACAAGGACGCCACCTGCGTGGGCTCCTGTATGATGAGATTCCAGTGACATTGATTGATAGCATGCAGACCCGTACTGTCCGAGATCATGCCCAGGAATTGGATGATGCACTAGTGTCCACTCTGCAGGCTCTGGAAGCCTTGGCAGCATCAGAGGATGGACCACACCCTCCTCCCCCACAGACTGCAGGTAATGGCCCATTCCTCTTCATTCTTGCCTCCTTTTCCAGGCAGGGTCAGCAGGTGACATTGCTTCTTCCTAAGCAGAGATCAAAGTCACTGTGGTGTGTCAGGACAGCGGATGGGCCAGAGGTGGTTCAGATAGTGTTGGGGAGCAATGATGTTATGGCAGGGGTCTGCTGCTCAGCTCTAGCTAGAGCTCTGGCTCTTGCCATTCTATCTCTGGAAATGTCTTGTAGATGGACCCCAGGGATTGGGGCCATGCAAGCTATGGATCCAGGCTAGGATGGAGGACCAAAGCAAAATTGTAAGAGATATAGAAGATAGGCAAAGGACTTCCAGCATGCACATAACTGGAAGAAAAACCAAATAACCCAGTAACCACCTAGCGACCTGGGATCAGGGGAGCCAGGAGTCTTCACTGCTCAAGGCAGAGGTCTTTATTCTGCCTAAGAACATGGGCTCTCAATCAGATGCACTCAAGTCCGGTCTTCCTTACTCACTTTCAGTGTGACCTTGGCAAGGCACTTACCCTCTCTGAGCCTCACTTTTGTCACCTTAAATGGGTTTGATAACAATAGTCATACCACATAGTGTTGTTGTGAGATTTGAATAAGATCATTCATGCAAAGCACTTGAGCACATAGGAAGGACTCAGTAAATGTTAGTTATTATCATTAATTATTATTTTTACAATATATTTTTTATTGATTTCAGAGAGGAAGGGAAAGAGAGAGAGAGATAAAAACATCAATGATGAGAGAGAATCATTGATTATCTGCCCTCCTCCTGCACGCCCCCTACTGGGGATGGAGCCGGCAACCTAGACATGTGCCCTTAGTGGGAATCAAACCCGGGACCCTTCAGTCCACAGGCCGACGCTCTATCCCAGCAGTTCTCAACCTGTGGGTCGCGACCCCTTTGGGGGTCGAACGACCCTTTCACAGGGGTCGCCTAAGACCATCGGAAAACACGTATTTTCAATGGTCTTAGGAACCGAGATACCGCTCTTCTATCCGTCTACAGGCAGGTCCACCCACATGCAGATACACCCACATATGAGTACCCGGCATGATGACATCAACAATGAAAATACATCCTGCATATCAGATATTTACATTACGATTCATAACAGTAGCAAAATTACAGTTATGAAGTAGCAACGAAAATAATTTTATGGTTGGGGGTCACCACAACATGAGGCACTGTATTAAAGGGTCGCGGCATTAGGAAGGTTGAGAACCGCTGCTCTATCCACTGAGCCAAACCAGCTAGGGATATTATTAATTATTATTTGTTGGGAAGATCATACAACATGCATGTTATTATCTGTTCTATACACACATATGTCCACTTCGTAGACAAACACACGTGTCAGACATGCACCCATACATACTTCCATAAACATACAACTTAAAAAGAAGTGGTCAGTGATACAGCAACAGAAAAGGAATAGAGGGAAGTAAGGCACATGAAAAAGCACATGAGGAGGGAAAAAATGTTCACATAGAGGGTGAAGAAGTTGGAGGTCAGAGGGAGCCTGCCAGACCAGAGAGAGAGAGAGTACCAACACCTGCCTTTTCTGTATTTGAGGGCATCCTTGGTGACAGGCAGCTCCCATTTGTGGAGCTCTAAGCACTAGCTGCTCCAAGGCTAGAGGCCCATGTGGTAGCCAGAGGGAGGACAATCTCAGCTAAATGGCCTCAGCTGCAAGAACTCAGCTGGTAGGCCTTGCCAGATGAGGGGGGCCAGATAGAGAGGGACCTGTCTTTGCCAGCCCTCTTCAGGACAATTAACAAAAATTTACTGGCCATGGAATCTAAAAATAGTGATGATTAGCATGTTTTTTGCATGTGTTTTGCATGTTAATTTGCCATCAAAGTGCCCAGATCTTCTTTGTGCCTCTTTTGTTCTCTTCTGGATTCTAGCCCTTCATAACACCTCCCCAGCTTGCCTCTAATTGTCCCCTCCCCTCCACTCCTCCCACCCTCAGCCCTGCAGTCCCCCCAGGCTTGACTGGCTTTGCCCAACTTGCAGTACTGCTGGCTAACCTTGGCCCCCATAAACTCTCTACAAATGATTGGGAGAGGACTTGATCTGAGTTAAGCGCAGCAAGCCCTGTCCCTGTTCCTCCAGGTCTGATTGTGCTGGCCACAATCACCCCTGAATCATCGCTGGACTCGGGCCATGAAACCAACTCTTCGGAGCTCACAGACATGTCGGAGATGATGTCTGCCATGAAGCAGCACCAGAACACCACCTACTTCCTGACCCAGCACCTCAACAAAGACAGTCTTCTGACCCGCAAGGACCTGCCTTTCCGGATCCAGAGCTGTGCAGCCCAGGCTGTTCTCACAGCCCCTTACTCTCTTGGGCGCCCGGATCCCAACCCATCCCTCCAGCCAGCTGTCACAGGCCAGAGTCCTGGTCCCCCTGGCGCTCGGAGGAAGCTGCCCCAGCCAGAGGCTCAGTCACAGCGAGAGCGAACATATGCCCTGGCAGTGCACCCAGCACTGTCTCCACAGCTTAATGAGCAGAAGAATCTGAGCCTGCTGTCCCCAGTTCCTGAAGACAAAGGGCCTAGCTACACTAAGGCAGGCCTAGAGATGTCACTGAGGGCGGCCACACCATCCCTCAGTGAAGAGCAGGTCTCTGAGCTAAGGGGGAACCTGCCAAAGGAGGTCAGGTTGAGCCCCAAGCTTATCCTGGACCCAAAGGGCAGTGTGACCCCAGCTATCATCTCAGCTGCCCTACAGCAGGTGGTTCACACTAAGAGTCTACCTGCCCCTGGCGGGGCCTTGGGGAACCCTTCCAGCAGTGGGGAAAGGAGGCTGGAAGCCAGCGTGGGGAAGCCAGAGGTCAGCATGATGAGTGGTAGTGCCAATAAGAATCTTAAATTCAAAATAAGCCCAGAAGTCTCTTCCAGCTCCAGAGTAACCACAGGTAGCCGGGCTGACAGCCTGCACCTCTCCCCACAAAAGGATAGGCTGCCTGTTCAAAGTTTCCCTCCCAAAAGCTATCATTTGAGAGCAAGTCGAGAGTCGGTGGGCAAGCAAGCTACAGGGGAAGTGGCAGGCAAGGGTGGGCCAGAGGTTGTTAAGCCTTCCCTGCATAAGCAGAGCACCATCTCCAGCCAAGGGGAGAAGGGGCAGCTGGAGAGCACACCCCAAAGCAGCAAGCTTGAGGAGACCAGCCTGGTTTCCCGAGCTGGCTACCCCATAGCTCTGCAAAGTCCCAGCTGCCAGTCTCAAGGCCACAGCCCCAGCTTCCAGCCACGAGGCCACAGCCCCAGTTTCCAGCCACGAGGCCACAGTCCCAGCTTCCAACCACGAGGCCACAGCCCCAGCTTCCAGCCACGAGGCCACAGCCCCAGCTTCCAACCGCGAGGCCACAGCCCCATCAGCCTGTCCCGAGGCCAGAGCCCCAGCTGCCTTCCTCAAGGCCAGAGCCCACTGAGGCCCCAGGCTGCCAGCCGTCAGGTGAGCACCATGCCCTCTAGGAAGCTTGAAACAACCCTGGATGGAGCCCAAGTGACCTCCGAAGGCCCCACAAAGCCCAAATCATCTCGAGGTCCTTTCAGGCTACGCAATTTATTCTCTGCCACCTTCCCAACACGCCAAAAGAAGGAAACCGATGAGCGGCAGGCCCAGCTGCAGAAGGTAAAGCAGTATGAGTTGGAGTTCCTTGAGGAACTTCTAAAGCCACCAAGCCAGGGGGAGCTGCCGGGCACTGAATACCTCCAACCTCCAGCACCAGGCCGCTGCAGCTGCCAGCTACGCAGCAGCCCTATACAGCAGGGGCCTGGCATGTCCCGTGAGCAGAGACGCAGCTGTGATTGTAAGCGCATCTGCCGGGGGGGTCGGCCACAGGCGCCCCAGACACCAGTGCCCGGCCTCCAAGGGAGGGAGAAGGACAAGGTCCTGCCTACCCAGAGGCAGCCAGAGGCTGGCCCAGACTTGAACCTTGGCAGTCCCACCAATGTCCGGCGCATACGCTCCACCAGCCTGGAATCCCGAGAGTGCCGCTCAGACCCTGAGAGCGGTATTTCATGCCTGAGCACATGTGCCTCAGGGGGCGAGTGTCTGGGAGCTCCCAACTATAGGAAACTTATGCGTCGCTATAGTATCAGTGAGCCGGACCAGGGTGATAGGGCCTCACTGACCTCGGACATCTATCCACAGCCACCCCTGGGCATGCTGCCCAGGGAGGCCAAGGAGGTAGAGACAGGCCTCTCCCTAGGCTTGGGTCCCAAAAGCAAGCCTCTGGAGTCACCAACCCTTGGAGACCCCTCATATGTTCAAGTTGCTCCTGAGACCAAAGGCCCCAGACCGATGGCCGTGTTCTCACTGCCAGAAGAGGTGTACCGGAAGCCCACTGAGTTGGATGAGGACAGTGAAAGCAGCAAGTGCTGCTCCATCCGCTACTGCTTCTACTACCGCAAGTGTGACATAGCGGATGATGCCAGTGATGGCAAGGATGAGCTCTCTTACTCCATCCCCATGAAGATCCTGCCTGGTATGAAGCTGGACGAGAAGGTGGTGCCCGTAGTGAGCAGGACCCTGCAGGTGCTGGATGCCGCCACCTGCAGCAGCAGCAGCCCTGAGGCCTCCCGCACCCAGGAAATTGACCTGCGGGTGTCCACCTTCGAGGGGAGCCTAGCCAAGATCAATGCCCTGCGGGCCCATGCCTATGGCCTGCCTGACGGCTTCCTGGCTGCACGGCTGGACACCAACGAGTTGCTGACAGTCCTGCGGCAATGTGTGGCCAGCCCTGAGGCCCGCGCTCCCAAGCCCTATGGCTCCCAGATCTCTGAGTACAAGCTGGAGCTGTTTCTCAAGTTCAAGGAGCTCCGGGCTTCCTGCCGCCGCGTAGCCAACGTGGACAAGAGCCCAACTCACATGCTGGCAGCCATCACGGGCAGCTTCCAGGTGCTGAGCAGCCTCATTGAGACCTTCGTGCGGCTGGTGTTCATTGTGCGCTCCGAGTCACAGCGCCAAGAGCTGCTGGCCAAGGTAGAAGAGGTGGTAAGGAACTACACCTTCCTGCTGCGCGCTGCTGAGGAGTCCACCATCCGGAATCTGAACCACCAGCAGCAGCAACAGCAGCAGGCAGCAGCAGCTATGGGGGTATCCCCGGGGAACCCACCAGGCTCCCCAACTTCGGCGACTGTTATGAGCACATTCACCCACCCCTTAAAAACCCTTGTTAAGTAGGGCATCTGCCCAAGCCTCCCCCCTTCCCCAACCTCAGACCCAGGTTTGAGCTTTGTGGTCCTTGCATCCTGTGATGAGTGTATGTGTCTGCTGGACCAGTCAGGGTCCAAGAGCCTTCAGTCTCCAGGGAGCAAAACTCCTAGCATTGAGGCTGTCCCTGAGGTCTCCAGGCTGCTGCTGCCCTGGGTATCCTCACCCCTTCCCTGGCCTCTAGGCGTCACTGTGAGGGCCAAGGCCCCTCGTCACTACGCCCACTGCAGAGTTGTATTTTATCTCTTCTCTAGGGCTGAGAGGTGACATCAGGCTCACTTCCTGCTCCATTTATTGGCACAGGGAAGCCAGGGCCTGAAGGAGGCAGGCCAGACGGCCTAGTGGAGGGAAAAGGGCCCACCCACCACTTTGCAGAAGCCACCCAGAGGGCTCACACCCGGGTGATAGTCCTCCAGAAAAACAGCCACACAGGGCTGTTTGCAGCCAGCCCAACAGGCTGGCAGCCTCGGGAGCCCTCATTCCCAGGCCTAGTAGCTCCACACCAGCCATCCCCAAAGTGCCCTGTCCCTCACTGGTGGGCAGGGCAGCTCAGTCCACTAGGGAGCAAGCATCTGGGATCACCCCACTCATTCTGGCTAAGGTACCTGATGAAAATGTTTGCCCTGGGGAGACCCAGCACAGGCCTCCGAGCTGGCCTGGCCCAGCATAGTACAGTGTCTGTAGCTGCAGGCATGCGGCTCCTCTCTCAACATTTCTACTAGACAGGCTGTCCTTAGGAGTTCCACTTAGCTACAGATTGGGGGTGGGGGGTGGGGGGAGGGTGGGAAGGGGTTAGGGGATAGGGGTGGGTGTTGATGACTATATCTTAAACTTCTGGAAGCTAGCGTGATATGTTAATCCTGAGTATATGCTTTTGGCTGTGTATTGACCCTGTGGATTTGTCTCTCTAAGAAAAGAAGCTGAGCGCCTTACCAAGTGCAGTCCTGCACCTCTCTCTCTCTCCGGAGTCATCTGGAAGGGAATTCACACTGTTTAGCATCCTCCTTGACACACATCTACTGCTGCTGTCACCGCCCCCCTACAACCTTCATGGGAGTGAAGACACGGAGTCCCTACTAATTGTCCCATTGTAGGGAACAAAGAAAGCCAATGTTTCTTCTGTATAGATTGCTTCTCATCCACTTCTCCATACCTCCCCATTTTTTCCACATGCCCATACCCTGTGTCTGCCTCTCATCATCATTACATGAGAGACCCCTGTGAAATCTCCCATTCTTACATGAGTTTTATAAAGATGTACACTGTGCTTGACCCCCACCCAACCTTGGTATCCCCTAAGGCAATTAAGCCCCCCTGAGTGGCAATTTCTCCCAGCAAGATTAGGGGAGCTCCTTCTGCAGAAGCCAGCTCCACCTTCCTGGCCTCTCCTCCCACAAGACCAAGTTGTTTAATAGGCCAGAGATACAGCCAGTGGGGAACCCTTTCCCCCTTGACCACTGCAAGTGTGAGTGCTGATGTGGCCTTCCTCTTCTCCCAACTTCTTGATCCTGCACCTTCGCCACTCAGGCCCCACCTGTGTCATTCCACCACCATCCTTCACCTCTCCCTCAGCCTCATGGAGAGGATACATTTTCTAATGTCTGTATATAATATATATATATATACTACATAAAATATAAATTATATATATATATATACTAATTTATGTCTTGTTTTTCAAACAAGAATGATTAAATCTATTCATCTTACTATCCCAATAAGCATTGGCAGTGCCTCTTTGTGAGTGTTCTTGTATCCTTGAATTGTTGGTTGGTGGTGCTCTCTCTGTGCCTCTCTTCCCACCTACCTGGGACCCGGTGGGTGATGACAGCTGAGGAGCCTGCTCCTTATAGAAGCCTCCTGTGGGCCACAGGAGTTGGATACTGTCTGTTCCTGTATTTTGCCCATGAGGCCTCTATCTCACCTGGTCACCATAGCTATGACCTCAGAGTTGAAAGGGGTGGGGGCAGGGTAGGGGCAGAAACACAATGTGCTCTGTGGCTTGTGCACTGGATGACCTGGGAGGCAGGAGACATGGTTTTAGTCCAGCTGTCAGGTCAGAATTGGGAAAAGGGACCTCTCCCTTTAAAGGTTACTCAGTTACCTCAGAGTGTAGCCCAACTGCCTTATATTTTAACTTAGCAAATCCTTTGCAATGGTTGCTGGCAATTTATTTGGTGGGGTTGATAAGATAGAAGCAACAAGACCCTAAGCAGGGCTGACCTCTCTAGCTTTTCAGAGTTACCTAATGGTGACAAATGCTTTTGTTTCTCTGTTCTTTTACTTCCTTCTGGTAATCACAGGTCCCCACTAGCCTATGAGGTGCCTCCGTGCCAACTTGAGAAGTTTCTTCCTCTTTGGCCAGGCAGCTCAGTTGGTTAGAGCGTCTTCCCGATATGCCAAGGTGCAGGTTCGATTGCCCTCAGGGCACATACAAGAATCAACCAATGAATGCACAAATAAGTGGAACAACAAATTAATATCTATCTGTCTATCTATCTCCCTGCCTTTCTCTCTCTAAATACAAAGAAAGAAAAAAAAATGTTCCCCCTGCTACCCCCCCACAAAAGATGAATTAGAAAAAAAACACCCCACCCTCTGGGTGATGCTAGCTCTGCGACCACGTGGCTTGGTCATTTTAGCTCCACCCAGCCCCACTGGTCTCTTTGGCTGTGTGCACATATTACACAACCATGTATAGTGGCTCTGATCAGTCACTTCCTCCCAGAGATTGAGCACAGACTTTTTTTTCTGTTTGCAAAAGCGTGGCTAAAGCGGTTAAGAGGCAATGCACAGAGGAGCAAGAGACGGTGTAGTCAGTCTGGGCTGCTCTACATGTTCCTCAACACCATACCAGAGCTCTGATCTGCATGCAGGAGGCCATCAGGGGTGAGAGGCTTAACCTTGGTAGCAGAACTCTTGTGGGAGCTGCCTGCCAGGGATCCTGTCCCCCTCAAGTGAAAAACAGTGAGTCCTGCTGCCCTTCAAAATGGACCAACTGGACAGTCCAGAAACTTGGACCCCCTCTGGCCCTTAACTACACTGGTAGCTCCTTCCAGTCAAAAAAGCATGCATATTTGGTTCTATATCCTGGGTACATACCCACACAGAACCTAGCACATAGTAGTTCTTCAATAAGTTTTTGCTGAATAAATGAATGTTGAATGGGATGACTGTCCAGATCTCTGGACCTTGTGAAATGGGCCCTCTCTCCTCTGGGAATGGTTAATCCAGGGCAGTGCAGTTGGACAAGGGCAGGCAGGCTGTCACTTCCTATCAAAGGATAAGGAGTCAGGTCCCTCATCCAGCATCCTGCTGACTCAGCTGAATTTCATCAACAGCTTTCCAAAACCTTCAGAAAAATCTGAGGTGACTGACCAATATTCTCCTTTTCTGTGGACCCAGGGTCATTATCTGCAGTAGTCAGAAACACCGGGGAAGGCCATTTTTCTACCAGCATCCATGCCACATTTGGTCTGAGCCAGAGCCTGAAGCAGATGCTCTCTGGCCACTCTGTACCATATACCAGTCCCGAGAGCCTGATTCCTGCCTTTCTGATTTCAGCCAATAAAGGGAAATGGGTTCATGATATTGGCATGGGTCCAGGATGCCTGTGGAGCTGGCACAGTCACATTTTTTCAAGCTGTTGTCAAGGCACTGTGGATAATAGGCAATTTCATCAGCAATGAATTGAAAGGATCTGCCTCAGCCAGAACATTTCCTGCCAAATGGGCAGGGGAGGATCAGTTGCCAACATGGGGAAGGGGCATGAATTTATGTCTTAGTTTTTTTTTTATTTTTATTTTTATTGCTTAAAGTATGTCTTAGTTTTAAATTCCTCCAAGCAACCACTAGGATGGGAATAATAATAATAACTGCATCCCATTCCCCATCCTGTAGGCTGGAAGCCAGACTATGTGTGTTGGGCGTAAGAAGGAGGTTCTCCATGGAGTAGAAGAAAATGATTTCTGAAGGTTCAGTCTTGGGCCCTGGCAAAATGTCCTGGACTCCAAGTGGGTCTCCTGGTTCCAATGCCTTGTCCTCCTGGAAGCCACTAGTAGGTAGTCATTATGGAAGCCTGCCTTCACACAGGAAGAGAACTGCTTATTTCACGTCAGTGTTAATAGCAACTCCTTCCTGCCCATGCCCATGCACCCAAATACCCAGTCCTTGGGTGCTGGCCATACTCCCAGCATCATGCGGATGTGTCCCAGTGCCCACACTGACATTTTCAGCTGAAGGCTCTGGACATACCACTTAGGAATGAACTCAGTTTTAGCTTCTCTGCCCTCCTATCTATGATATCTATTTCCCTCTGGATGTTGATTCCTCATTGCTATGTTCACAGCTTTAGCTAAAAGGAATATGCATTCATTCTATGTTAGGAACATTCTGCAACACAGAAAACTTGATCCCTGCCCTGAAATATACAAAACCAACTGTGCATGAGCACTTGCCATATGTCAGGCACTGTGTTAAGATCTTTACATGCATGATCTCATTTAATCTTCCTAACAGTCCTTTGAGAGAGATACTATGATCATATCTACTTCTCAGAGGAGAAAACTGAAGCCTAGAGAGATTAAGTCACTAGCTGAAGGTCTCACAGCTGGTAAGTGGTAAGCCAGTCAGTTTTCAAACCCAGCCCAGACTTTCAACTGCTACCCTACAGTACTCAGCCCAACCCCACCTTCAAAGCATTTCCTCCTGGAAACAGGCATGGATGCAGACACACTCATGAAAAGATGGCCTATAATTTTGCTTGGGGTCCAGGCAGCATGGGGGTAGTAACAGGTCGTTAGTAATGTTGGGGTACTGCAAGCCCACCTGAACCCACCCACATACCTCTCTTCGCTGGACTGCCCTAGTACCACACATATCTCATACCTAAGGGTGGAGTAGTATATGTACATTGAAATTTGTGGATAGAGCAGTTGCATCCTAAAAGCCACTATCAAGATTATGCGCTGCCACCCATCCTCCTCAAACTGGGATCTACGTCTCCCAGGGGATGTGGTAGTGTACCAGCAGACACAAAAAGCCATGGTTATGATGTGGCCTGTATTCCTGAAGCATTTGCATTTTCTCCAAGATTTGTGAGGAAAATATTATGCAGATGCTACATTAAATATTTGTATGTAAAAATATAAAGAGAAATACAGAAATCGCCTTCCTTGTAAAGAATACATATCACTTTAAAGACACTTGAGACTGCTATCTGATACATCTGCACTCTGATACCCATCTACCTGGAATCCAGGTTCGCTGTCCTCTTCCACCAGACATGCTTTGGTGGAAATGTGAAGCACACTGAGGGTCTGTCGGATGAGCTAACTGGTGGCGTGGACCCCAAGGGGAGGGCATCTAGGACTGGCCTATTTCCATGGCTCTGAGCACAGGTGGGAGTCAGGAACTTCTTCAGGAATAAGAGACCTGACGGATCTGATATCAGGAGGAAATGGGACAGTTACGCTCCTCCCCAACCTCATCCCAGGTGACCCTTTGGCACAGGGTCAGTCCTGGGCACAGACTGAGAGAGCCAGATTCCCTGCAAGCTGGAGATTTCTGCATCTGCAATGAGCAAGCAAAGCAGGGAGGCCATGTGGGCTAAGATGAGCAATTCCCCCCAGAATCAGGGCTTGGTTCTATTTTCAGGCCAGTGGCTGATTTGCCTTATGATGGGGTACAAGTCATTTCACCTCTTTGGGCCTCTTCTCTAAAATGAAGATGACTGAGTCTCCAGCC